GCTAATTTTATCTTAATCAATTCGTAACAGTCTAGTCGATACATAAAAGTGGGTTAGATATGTCATCCCTGATTGAACGACCATATGGTTAGGGATTTTGGCTAATTCCATACCATAAGCGCTTCATAGTAAGCTTTTTCAGAACCATGAACTGTCCCTTCATTTGTAATAGTTAGCCTTTTAGGTCATCGCACCCCCTCTGCTTAAAAGAGACATAAATCTCTTGGATCGTGTGCAGAGATGAGCAACGAAATGGGTGATAGGGTTGAAGAACAAACCTTACGAAGATAGACGTCAGCACTTGGAGTTATTCCCACTGCGTTACAGGAGAATCAAAGGTGATCTGATAATGGCGTACAACATATTAAGAACGCCAAACCATCCCAACGTGAGCATCTTACCGATGCATCACCATCACTCACCTCGAGGCAGTCCTCAGAAAATTGTACACCAAAGAGTGAATACTCAGGTTTGTGCACAATTTTTCTCACTGCTAGTCGTCGCAACCTGGAATTCCCTCCCAGCTGAGGCGGCCACAGCCCACTCAGTGGATAGCTTTAAAACGAGACTTGATAATCACCTACTCACTTACAGATTATCATCTCCCTCGTGTACAAGCTGTGCCTGATGCATATCTTGAGACCTGCTAGTTTCCATCATTGCCATCTACTCAAATCACTAACTTAATCTATCTCGCCCATTATCTTTGTTTCCTCTCCCGTGCTTACACTTCAATCCGCCCTCACAATCTTCACTACCGATTAATAAACTAAATCATCTACATATATTACTTATTTCTGAAATTTTATTCATATTAGCATTAGAATTTTATCCCTATTATCCTTATTACTCTACACATTGCAACTAAATGATCTCCGGTCTGGTAATGTGATGGCTGCTGGTATCCAGAAACCCTACTGCCCTGAAACAAACGTTTTCATTCAAATCACAAGACATAGAAACTGACAATCAGCTGCTAACTGACTGGAATTAAACAGCCGAGTGGCTAGATCTCTATTGATTGGACACTATCAAACACCTGAAACTATACCGAAAGAACAAGAATCGAGCACAAAGAAATCAATTGGTTTATACTAGCTGGTGAAGATATTGGATATTGGATATTGAAGATCGTATTGCATTACCTAAAGTAGGTTTTCGATTTATTAAACAAGCAAGATTAATCTTATGCTGTTTTGCATCAGAAAACCAGTAGCCAAGTAGAGACAACTGTTCAAGAAAGCATTGAGAATTTAACTCTTTAATTGTGGTCTGTCAAGTGTGAAACTCTTTTGGTGGGCTTTTAAATGGTGCTGGTTATGTCCTCCCGTGCACTTGGTTTCCGTCACACAGTGTACCTCACCATGTTGTGACCTGCTTTTCCAGTTTATTGTTTTTAAAGGTAGGTTATAAATCGACCAAAGTCTTAATCCTTCTCATATGTATAAAGAAGTATCCATCCCATCCTTTGTTAGGATATCAGTCATTTTGTGTGCTACGTTTCATACAATGAGATTTTTCAGAGTATTTATTTTTGTTTAATTAACGTTAGATTCCTCACACTTAAAATAAAAGTGGGCTTTCTGTCTCTGTAGAGAGAATGATTGCCAAAATAATGGTGCTTCTAACTTAAAACAATTCAAATATTTTGTTACAAGTCTACGTGTTTCTTCATTGTTATTCATTACAATTTTGAATGTTGTCATTGATTAATCTGCATGTAAATCTTATGGATTATTAGCATTTCACAGAAAAATAGCAGGAAGAATTAGCTTCTCTACCCTCATCGCTACAAATTTATTCCACAAGTTCTGTCAGTAACCTTTGATATTTTTTTATACTTAAGTGTTTAAATGCAGGTGCACAAGTCTGCATTTAACCAACCAAATGACTTACAATTTGCGAGTTTCTATCATTCCACCTGTAATACTTAAAATGGAATTATACTATGGAGATAAATAAGCTGTTTCTCATGCCTTTTGCAAAACGTAACTCCCAACTCGTCCAATATTTTTATATGCTATCTAACTAACAGGAGTTTTGTCAGAAAAATTTGGTTACATAATTACAATGTAGTGATGTTTACGCGTCAATCATGCTTATCCAGTTCAGAAGATCGTTTAGGAAATATTTAGTTACTTAAACTCATTCTTGTGATGTAACCTGACCTATGTAGGTAATTATAATACTGTTTTACCCTCATCTGTGTATTATAAACAGTAGCAAAGTCTTTGACAGTCAATGGTATTTTAAGGGTACATTTCAGAGTTATGTTAAGCCGTTTCGTTGTATTACATGTTACTATAATGCCTTCAGATAGTTCTAAAAATCCTGTTCAGGCGATCATGCTGAAAATGTATCTGTATACTAATAAGGCTACAGATGTTACCAGACTAGATCCATGTCTAAATCTATGACTTGTCGTAAGCTAGCATACGGTATGGTATAATATGTCGTTTAATTAAAGGGGGAAGTTTTCGTTGTATTTTTCTTTTTAACTGAAAAATATTGACATCAGTGTAATAATCGCACTGGTTTGTGCTTGTTAAATGCTCGGGTCTGCTAAAAAATGTTTCCTTGACAGATTGTATTACTCGTTACATAGAATAAGAACAGCGGTATGATACTTTTCTCAGACCCTCAATATTAATAACTGTAGTGCTTACGGAAACTTGAAGGAAATGGTCACTGAAGGCGTATTTTATATGCAATGTCCCATGATAAGCGGTATGTTTCCTCTAACAGTACAATATCTGATGCTTCCTGATGCTTGATATGACCATAATAATAATTGGGTTAATTATTGTTAAATCTAGAAGACGTGTTGGGATGTTAGTTGATAACTGTTTTCGACGCTTATTAAACGAGCTATAGCATCATGTACTAACGATGGTGAGGTTATACTAGATAAGGAATGTTCAGCATGTTGGTTGTACTCATTAAAAACTAGCGTTCCGTTACAAGTTATCTTTTATTTCTCCGTGGTGTGTTGCATTAAAGACGTAGAATATTTCCATGATATTTGAACGACGCTTATTCTTATGCATACTCATATAAATATTCTCATGAATTCGTATAACTGCGTGTTGCGTTGAGGTAAATTTGTAAGTTATTAATTTTCTTTCCAAATATTTTTTGGCCTTCAGTTCAAAATGGAATTATTAGTCTGGAATGACACTCATGGTTACAAGTGTTACGTTTAATCCACAAACTTATAAAATAAGAGTACACATTTTCTGTAGTATTGTCGATTGATTGCTTACACTTTGTATTTACGTTAGTTGGTCATCTAAAGGAGTAAACGCCATGGGAAGTAGCAGTGATGTCTTCAGATAAACAAGGGGTAGACAGCACAATCTCTTTATATTAATAAGGTGAGGTCAAGTCAATGATCATATCTGTATTATTTTTGTTTGTTTCAAAGACGTAGCATACATCGGCAGCGCAAAGTTTTAGGGTATCAAGGAGACATATCCAGTCTAACACAAAGTTTGAATATTTAAAACTCCAACATGGTGCTTCAAGCGTATCTTCAAAAAATAACGAGTAATATTTCATAGTCAACACACCACAGTTTTACATTTTCCAATAACGTAAACCAGCAAGATCTTTGTAGCGCTTGTACTAAATACTTAAACTTCTTAATTACTACACACATACTACTTTGCTGCTTATAGTAATTTCAAATCTGATCATTATGAGCTGGCGAACAATATCATTCAGTTAACATGTTCAGATAATTTTTTTACTGATCTACCAAACAATTTTGATATGCACTAGGCATTAGTTGTTACAACACTATCTTTGTAGCATCCTTTCTGTAAACTGAATTCCAATCAACTCACCTTGATATGCTACTAAATTGATTCCAGTTAGCCGACCCAACTAAGCTAGATCAAAACTTAACTTTCACCATGTTGTCAAGTACATCCTGATTAACTGATTCTTTACATTAAATAAGCTTATTTAAAGTTCTCATTACTGTTGGCCAACATATAAGTGCCAGTTTTTAGCATATATATAATTATTGCTCAATGAACGAATGTCCAATTTTTTTTATACAGTATAGTATTCGTTTATTATGGAGACTACATAACTGATAAATCTAGTGTTGCTTTTCCTTTTGTATTATATATGTCAATCAGTCAGATGCAACGTAGAACTTCGTACGTATTATATATGTGATAACTTTGAAATGAATTACGTATAAGAATAGGTTTGATTGAATATGGCCAGTTCATGTATACTGTCAATAGGAATATTACTGAGATGATGGAGAAAACTTATAGCTCAGGTGGATGATTGTGGTGGTGTTTTGTTCTCTGAGCTGGTTGTTTTGGTTGTGGAACTTTCATTGTTCTTCAGATAGCAGTTTGTGCTGATGATGTTGTTCAGAAGAACAATGAAAGCTCCACAACCAACTCAGAGAACGAAACACCACCACAAGGAATATTACTATTGCAGTTAGTAATTTTTAATTCAGTATGTTTATATATATATATATATATATATATATATATTTATTAAAAAATATTTCTAAATTTATATGGTTCTGTTTGTTTTTTTTTCTCCCGTCTAGGTTTCTACTACGTAAAAGCGCCATATGGCCACATAATTGTGATTTTTCTTGTATGTGTGTATGTGTATGTGTGGCTACTCTAACATTTTCGATAATTTTATTTATTTTTCTAAACATTCTCATCATATACTATACGAAAATCTTGTATTTTGACTTAATTGTTTCTTGCTTTGCTACCTCATTTATTGAAAGCGCCATTTTTTTTTGTTTGTTTGTTATATACTTAATTAATCCAGGTTTAAAATACTTTCATTTAAATTATTCTATTTGACTTCATTAAAATATTTCCTTGTGGTCATTATTATTATTATTGTTGTTACGATTGAGAAGAAAAAAAAAGTTGTATAACTCATAAAATTTATTTCAACAAAAAAAATAATAATTCCAGTTTTTTTTCTTTTTGTACCTCAATTTTTATTCCATGTCTGCTTCTTATATTCGTCGTGATACACTTGTCTCTAATCCTTGTTCTTTATCCATACTTTCTGGTTCCTCATCTATAAGCGCCAATGAACATAAAGATATTTCATCACTTTCTACGATTAGATCTTATCCTGATCAAGCAATGCCTTCAAAACATAGTAGTAGTAGTCCATCAGGTGGTCAATCACAACAAGGCACTACTATTCATTCACCGAAAATGTCACCAGACTCAACTTTAATTCAACTTTCTACACCAAGTTTTGTTTCTTATTTAAATTCTACGACGAGTCTTGGAATATCAAGTGGAAATCCTATTACATGTGATAGTTTTCTTCGATCAGCACTTTTATCCGATGGTTTAGAAAAACAATGTGTTGGAAGTTCAACAAATCTTACTGTACCAAATTTTCATGATCCATCTACATTATCAAGTGTTCAGCCCTGTTCATTATTACGTCCTCGTGCTATGACAACATCAAATGCTTCAAGATCTGGTACACCGATAGGAAATACACCTACATCGGGTTCTTCAGCATGTGCATCAGCTCCGACTAGTACGACTCCTATTAAAAAATCTTCAAGACGTAATCCTTGGGGTTCTGAAACGTATTCCGACCTTATTTCAGTTGCTATACGTTCTTATCCAGATAAACAAGCAACATTACAACAAATTTATGATTTCATAATTACACATTATGAATATTTTCGAGAACGTAGTGATCCAACAAGTTCTGCTGGATGGAAGGTATGTAAAAAAATATATTTTTATTTCGTCGGATGCTTGTTTATGCTTTTGAATTTAAACTTTGAAATAATTTCTAAAATATTACCACCTGTTTTAGTGAATTACAATTGGAGTTCGTCAATTGAATGTATTCAGATCACAATACCTACCACCTCTTAATCGATGAGTATATTACTTGCTATTGAAATTTGTCTGTTGTTTATCCCTTGCAGAGAGGAATCACTTAAGCACCGGTGATTGTATTCTTTTGAGTTTTATTGCTCAAAATATCAGTATTTATGGCTTAGCAGTTAAAATGTTTGGCCACTAAGTCCTAGGTTCAGATACTCCACTACCTCAATTTTCGGAAACCGGATAGTATCATACATCCTCACGCTTAGAATGTAACTCATACTCAAGTATCTGGATAGCGAGTGTCTTAATTTGAGAAATTCAATGAATGGATTCTCATTTTTGAAGTTCTCCTTCCTTAGCATTGATCAATATTTCAATCACTTGGTAAATTTTTATTGCCATCTGATATATACACCTCGCACATCCACACATTGGCATACTTGATATTTCTATTCTTTGAGTATAAACTTTGATGGAAATTACTGTAATTAGTTTTGTTCACATTCTGGTACGTGATGTGTAGTAAGATTTCACATCAGAAGTTGTGAGTGCCCTTTAGTTAAATTCATTTTGGTCTCATTTTATTTTTACCTGTTCTTGAGGGTTATAGCTACATATTTTACAGTACAGAACCTATGAAAGATTTTTTTTTTGCCTACTATATTAACAAAATCAAAAGTGGGTCACATGTTTGTTGAATTGAATTTTTTATCACTTTATGGCTCCCTAATTCACTATTTGCCTTTCCATACAATTTATTCAGTTATATTTTAAAAGTTAATTAGTGTTCACCTTAGCTTTATACCGTTTTTATTTTTTTTTACTTCCCTACCAAGGGCTTGCTTACTACTCCTACTTATTTACTAATGACTTGCTTTTGTTGTTGTTTTCAAAAAAAATTATTGCCGTTTTTTTTTCTAATTATCTTTAAAAAATTTATCATTTGGAAGAAGAAAAATGTTAAACGACCAGTTTCTTCCCCCTGTGTCCCAAATGACCTTTATGCTAAAGACATGTAGCCTAGACTGGTTTTTTGGTTTGGCCATCATCATCATCATCATTCTAACTAACCTACTTCATCTGCATATTGAATGTTGTTTATCTTTTATTAGACTGATGGTAGTAGTAGTAGTAGTAGTAGTAGTGGTAGTAGTAGTAGTACTACAGACACAACACTTTTGATCAAGGCTAACAGATATTTATTCATTTATTTATGGCTATTGCTGCTGCTACATCAGCTATCATCTATCATCTAATATATTACGTCTGTCATATGGCTAATTTTAGATCACATTTTTCGTTCATGGCTTGTTTGCGCGCCTGCCTCCTTTTTTTTGTGTGTGTGGATGAATGTCAATATATGATGGCAATTATTTCAGATTTATTTATGTTATAGTCCTTCTATCCCTCTCTGTTTCTCTACCCTAAGCAAGCTTCATTCACCACTACTACTGTTCGAGTCGAGAGTGTGTGTGTAAACATGTGAATTTCTAATTACGTCGTGAAATTTCTTTCCACCCACATTAGAAATGATGAATTTTTTTTTCATCTGCCTTAGCTTATTTTTTTTCATACGTGAATGCGTGTGTGTGTGTATTGAGTCGCAGACATATACTCAAATAGAAAACTTATAATCATCATTTGACCATTTCTTGATAATTAAAGAAAAAAAACTCATTCTATTTCAATCATTGTTCAGATCTTTGTTTTGTTTACTTTTTAAGGGACTTTTAGAAGTAATTTATTAAGGAGGTGTTTAAACTGGTCCCATCTAGTAAGGTGGTGATCAATTGTCCCCAATAATCTCAAAACTTCACGATTTATACCACATACGATTAGTAATAAATAATCTCATATGGTCTGCTGAATATAATTACAGATTTCTGTTCAATTTATTTAATCTAACTGTACAACTAGAGCTTTATACAAATTATAGTTCGTAGTAGATATGATTTTAAAAGTCGAATAAAATAATTTCTATAATATGAGATGGGTGATAAGTAGTATTACGTAGTGTTTATCCATACTCGAGAAGCAAGTACTGTGACCTTCGGAATTACTTGCGTTTTCAGGTTGGAAAGGGGTAACAAGTTTTTTGTGTTAGGTCGTCATCATCTGTTAACGTATTCCAGTTTTATAGATTAAGTTCTGCGTACACTTATCTCCAGATAGGTATTTGAATGCATTTCTATAAAACCATGCATACACTTACGCTAACTTATTTAGTGTGCACAAAATCTTTAATCAACACAGTTGTAAAGTAGGTAGTCGTGTTTTAAACCACATTACTGATAATCACATCGTATGAGCCGCTGCGCTTCTTAAATCTAGTCATTGCTAAAGTGTTATTAATGCTAGATTCTAACAAGTAGTTGTTGACTATTCTAAACAACATCTGCTACGGAGAAACTTTTTAATGATTTAATTAATGAACTTTAGATTTGTGATACAAACGAATAGAATGATGATTGACAGATAAACACCACCTTAAGCTGTGACCAAGTGATATCTGTTTACAAGACTGAAGTTGACATTTATTCCAACACGATCTGAAAATGTCTTGGATCTGTTGTATGGGAATCTGTACAGGCAGTTGATATTTATTGAGAAAATCATAAAACCAGCATCTTATTCGCTATTGCTAGAACAGCTCTAGTTATCCTTTGTCAGATTTGTGAGTCCGGTATGCGTAGCGGTTGTTACTTCTCGGTTACTCACACTATGAAGGCATTCTTGTGAATATTGATCATTTCTGAAAAAAAAGTAATCCACACACTAGATTTTGGATGTCATTTAGTTATTGCATCCCTAAACAAGATCAGACATGCTTCTTAAATGTTTCTCTTGGTTTTCATCATAGCATTTTATTATTATTTTAGTATCTTGATCAGATAATAAACTGTTTCTTGCATCACCCACTATCTATCAATATATATATATATATATCATCGCTAGTTTGTTCACGACTATCAACAGTGACTGATTTTCGACAGTCACACTCCTATAATCCCATAATAATTTAGCACCCTGTCTTTTAAAATTTTAGCACTAAGTCTTCAGAACAAAGAGAAATCGGGTTAATTTTTGAACCTGTAACGTTACTCAATTAGATTTCTCTCCTTAACTCTATTCTTTTGATGAAGAATAATTCGGTGATGTTCAATAATAAACTACAGTATTGAACTTTCCTCCATATAAGTTTTGTTTTCAGTTAGCCAAATTACTGACAAATTCCCTCATGCTTAAATTGTCCACATCATGCGCAGAATATACATAAATATGTATTTTTGGCAAATGAATCTCATTATTACCAGTAAAATTATTCTATGCCTTATTATTTTCGTGTTATCATTAATCAGTTTGGCTATTTAAAAAACCTTCATATTCATCATTTCCGTAATATGTACAACACTATCTCGGCATTATAGCCGGTTAAGTAATTATTCTTGTTTTTTGCTTGTTATTGATAAATACGATCAGTCTACTGTCCTTTAGTGATGCTGGTTACTACCACTACTACTACTACTACCACGTGCCATTTTAGCAACATCTAAAAGTACATATTTTGTCCCGTTTAACTCTCATGTTATTCATCGACCATCTCTCTCTCTCTCTTAGCCTTGATTTATGAAGGTCATCTATTACTCTGTCTACCCTTACATTGTATATACATCTATCTATCTATCTATGAAATCCACGTTCTTTGTATGTAAATATATATATCCGGTCTTGTGTGTGTGTATGGCTATATGTATGTCTATGTCCATTTATCTATTTTTTTTTGTTGTTGTTTCGCTAATGCAGTACAGTACATGTTTGCGCATTGTGAATTCCATGCAAATGAAGAGTGTGTATTGTATGGTATTGTATTGTATACATGTTACTTGTGAAAAAAAAAGATCATGTTTTGTCTCAGTCCATGTACTACTACTACTACTACACCCACATAAATATATTTTAGGCATATACACCAATAAGAAACTTGAATTATTTTTTTGCAAACAGTGTTTACTGATGTATCATTCATCATCATCATCGGTTGTAGCTGTGTTTTTATACTAAGAGACATCATTTAAGGATCAACAAAAAAAATTCGCCCATTATAGGCGTATTTACACGATTGTGACGTCAGCTAAACAAAAAAGACAACAAAGAGAAAAACAAGTCATTTTTTTTTTGGAGGGTGAGAGCACTTTCATTCGTTAACAAGACAGTGATTATAGTTTAGATTTGCACAGTTCTAGCTAGATGTTAATATGCAAAAATATGCCTCGTTTATTAGTGCATAACACTAATGAATGATAATCTATGTATGTCAAGTTTAGAAAAAACAACCCTTGAAATATTATTCCTCAATAATTCTCATCTAATGTTAGTAGAGATTTGTACCCATCTTTATCTTTGTTATGAATTGCGCCCATTCTCTTAATTAACATTACTATGATCTAATATAAAGGATAGGATAGTTAGCTGTATATGGTATTAAATCTGGGGTTAATAATAATCATAATTTTCAGGCAGGGCTTTGGAGGTTTGTGTTTTTACAACACATTTGAAATCATCAATCAATCATTGTTAGACAGAGCACCATTAGAAATCTGGAAGCACAAACACAAATCTCCAAAGCTCTACCTGAAAATATCGTACAATGTGCTCGCTAGTGACTAGCTTCTTTGTGAAGAAATTCTCGGAGTTCTAGTTGAGAAGATGTGACCAGTGGAGTTCAACCAAAGACAAATGGGTGAGGTCGCGCAAAAATCCGTAATTTGATCAGAGTTAGACATTAACACAGTTGGATGCCGGCCCAGTAGTCCGATGGTTAGGCGTTCGCGCATAATACCGAAGGTCCCGGGTTCGGATCCTGCGAGGTGTAGGAGTCATGGATGTGCATTGCTACTGATGAGTCCCATACCAGGACGAAATGGCCGTCCAGTGCTTCCAGGTTTCTAATGGTGGCAGTCTAACAATCAATGAGTAATGATTTCAAACGTGTAATATTAATAATAATAATAATCTAAAGACTACTACCTGTTGTTTCTTGCATAGTCAATTAAATAAAATAGACAAACTTCAATTTGTTTACAATTCTATTATGCCTTATCGTTAGTACAGTTCTATATATCGATAAGCTTAGAATGTGTTAATCAGTATTTAATTTACCATTCAGTAGTAGTTTTCAACTTTCATGTTCTGTTCAGCGGGAAATGCGCGTTAGCGCACATTATCCTGTAAATAAATAAAAAAAACCATATGACAGTTCATTTTAAGTTGCTTTTCTTTTTAGAAATAAAAATAATTTAATTAGCGCATAGGTAGGTAGGTAGATAGGTATCTCATAAGAACTTTAATAGGAAAATTTGCAAGTTGTATAAACATTTTTAAACATTTCATCATCCTTATAAATCATTTATCAATGATAAATGTTAAACAACAACATTGCACGCACAGTGTTACGCAATAAAATGATGATCGAGTTTGATTGCCTACTTCATTTGACATCATGACGTCATGATATGTGACCACTGTTAGAAACGTAGAAGCTCTTGACTTGATGTAGACAGTAACTACTACCAAAGACTGTGTATGAGGTTGCACAAGACCGTGAATTGATTGAAGTTGGACATTAACACCGTTAGATACCGGTTCGGCGTTCGCGCGCAAGACCGAAGGTCATAGGTTCGAATCCTGCGAGATGCAGGAGTCTTGGATACGCACTGCCACTGATGAGTTCTATGCTCGGACGAAACGGCCGTCTTTTAGTGCTTCCAGGTTCCTTCCCTAATGGTGTTGGTCTAACATTGATCCACTCATGATGTCTAAATATTCTATGCATTTACATAAACTGATCTTAAAAAAATGAAGTAAATTTCACTTCTTCTTCTTCCTTTTTGTTTTTGTATGTTAGAATTCAATTCGTCATAATTTATCATTACATGATCGATTTACCAAATGTCCAAAATCATCTGATAATACAAAATCCTCCTATTGGAGAATTAATCCTGATGTAGCAGCTAAGCCATATGTACGTCGACGTGCTTGTTCAATGGATACAACTAATTTAAAAAGGCCAGGATCATCAGGTCATTATGGTAAAATGACTAATCGATCAGGTGGTGGTGGCGGTGCTTCTCATCGTAATGTATCCAGTAATTTGTCTAGTAGTCATCATCGTATTCATCATGTGCCTTCAGCCGATAATACTACTAATAATACTAATACTAATGACGCCATGACTAAATCATCTTTATCACCGGTTTGTGAATTACAACATCCACTAGATATGAATTATTCATCATTGAATAAATTGACTGGGAATCGTTCAACTATTGAATGTAATAAAGATTATAGTGAAACAAATATACTTCATCGTTTAACTTCATCCACATCACCATCTATTGATCATTGTAATGCTGCAACGAAATCAATGAATTTTTATAATAATAATAATCAAAATAATAATAGTTCAATACCAACTTGTATTAGTGCCCATTGGCAAAATGCAAAATCTTTAACTCAGCATCATTTATCTAATTCGCATGTATACAATACAAATCCTTCCAATGGTGGTGGGATGTTCAACTCAGGATTCACTGGTTTATCATGTTCCACAGATCAACCGCCAAATCGATGGTAATTGTTATTATATTTTGTTCGTTGTTATTTTTTTTCATGTGTAAATTGCATTTCTCAAAGGTATATATATATATATATATATATATATATATATATATACAGTTGAATTTCTACGATTTTGTAAACAAGTATGTTTTCGTTTTTTTTAAAAAAAAAGATTAATTTCACTTTCGTGATTTAATTGTCACTTCATATGTGTTGTTTGTTTCTGTTTTTGGACGAGTGTACTGTGCAGCAGTTCGCTCTGTCCTACTATACGGATGCGAAACATGGCCGTTAAGAGTAGAGGACATTCGTAGGTTACTAGTCTTCGATCATAGATGTATCCGAAGCATTGCTCGTGTATCCTGGGACGACTGAGTAAGCAATGCTATCGTTAGGAAACGAGTTCTAGGTAAGGATGGTAGATCAATAGATGAAGTGGTAAAACTTCATCAGTTGAGGTAGTTGAGACATGTGTTACGTATGCCTAACCACCGACTGTCGCGACGAGCTATGTTTTGTGGTGTAGGAGTAGGTTGGAAGAAAGTTAGTGGCGCCCAGACGAAAACATGGCAGAAATCCATGAAGTCACTGACAAGTGGACTGTGTCATGTTGGTAGATGTAGACTACCTGGTTGGGGTCAGCGAGACGAAAGTCACCGATGGTTAGAGACCTTGAACGACATGGCTCAAAATCGTTTGCAATGGCGCAGGTGCATCCACTCTTTGTGTGCTTTTTAATTCTAACCTTCTGAATTCCTCATAATCTCTATCTTTCTCCTTCTAAATTTATCTCACTGAATTATACTTTTTGAATCATATTTTCGCTCCCTAATCATCTCCATTGCTGCTAATAATTCTATGATTGCTATCACTCTTGGATTTGAACTGACAGTTACGTCTCTGTGCTGATGTGGTATGGCAACCTGAACTGATGTACTTATGTACGAAGTTCTGCATTGTATCTGTCTGTCTGTTTCTGTTTGTGGAGAATGTAATATAAGTTGGCGAAATAGGAAAACAAGCTATGATAATGTTGACATGTTAGTTTATAGTGAAAACTGTTTTTCAACTTGAAATCATTTAATTAAGAGAAAAACAAGTAGAATCCAGTTATCAATCATAACTGAACTCTTGAAGATGGATTGCTTAAAGTTTATAGTAGTAGTAGTAGTGAATGAGATCACAGGTAGGGCAACCGAATTGTATTTAACGGAAATTACAGAGTTACTCAGTAAAATAGGAAAACAATATCGTAAACGGTTAATTTGCAAATCTTCATTCCATCATCAATCCATTGTCTGACAGTTCACTATTCATGCGTTTCATACAAATTCCATTGTGTTCTAACTAACTCTTTCTTTCTTGATCTTCCCGCATCTTCTGCTGCGCCAGACATTACGTTGACTGACACTCACGTCATATACTACTTATAAGTAGCTCAAACCACGCTAGTTGTGTGATGTGATGTGTAACAATTTCCAGGTCTGTCTAAAAATTAATTACATTTATAATATAACTACCAATTAGTCAGGTAACTTAGAGAGTTAAAAAGAAAAAGAATAAGAATACAAAAAAAAATCACGTGATTGTGTAGTGTGTGCAATAATTTATTACAAAATAATTATTATATCTGAATGTTTTTATAAAGTTCATTCATTTTGCGTTAACCTAATGTTGTAATCTCACTAAAAAAGCATAATATTCGATAGTTTATTTTTTTAGGGTGTCTTAATAATATGCCAATGAAATATAGTTCTACTTGGGGAAGACGATGATAAACGGAAGAATCTTTTGACTACCCTAAGTAAACAATGCAAGCATGTTTGGGATGCGATTCTCCTCACTTCGAAATGCAAACTGTTGCTTTAAGATTGGCTTGTATCGGCATCTGAACTAGTGATAGGGGGTGAAGCAGTTGACCGTGTAAACTGCTTCATTTATCTTTGGGATTTCGTTAGTGCTAATGGCCTGGTGTGTGACGAAATCTCAGTGTGGATACAGAAGACTCAATTGACTTGTGCTAACTGGCATCATTTTTGGCGTAGGCGAGATATCCGTTTGCTAACCAAAGGATGAGTCTACTGTGAAGTAGTTCGCTCCGTCCTACTATATAACTGTGAAACATGAGCAGTAAAAGTAGAGGACATTCGTAGGTTACTGGTATTCGACCATAGGTGTCTCCGAAGCATTGCTCGTTTATGTTGAGACTATCGAGTAAGCAATGCAGTTGTTAGGAAACGAGTACTAGATAAGGATGGCAGATCAGTTGATGAAGTAGTGAAACTTCATCAGTTGAGGTGGTTGGGACATGTGTTACGTATGCCTAACCACCGAATGCCGTCACCAAGCTATGTTTTGTGGTGTAGGTTTAAGCTAGAAGAGAGCTAGGGACGGCCAAACCAAAACATGGCAGAAATCCATGAAGTCACTGGCAACTGGATTGAGTCATGTTGTTATGTGTCGACTACCTGGTTGGGGTCGGCGAGATGATAGTAATCGATAATTAGAGATCTTAAATGACATTTCTCAAAACCGTTTGTAATGGTACAAGTGCATTCATTCTTTGTATTCTCTAAAATTAAAACCTGAATTCCTTATGATCGTTTTTTCTCCTTTTTTCAACGGATTCTTTTGGGGTAAACATCTCGAATGATATATTCGATCAGTAATTTTTTTGATTACTGCTTATACTCCTACCACCTTTAACTACTATGAGCTTTGAATCGACAATTGCGTCTGTGTACTGCTAATGAAGTATGGCAACTTCAACTGGTGTATGTAGGTACGAAGTTTTACATTGCAACTGACTGACTGAGGGTTTGAAGATTATGCTCATTAGTTTTTATATAATGTGAAGAGTCGAAAGTGTGGAATGCATTCACCTGAGTTGTCAGAATTTATTCAAATGATGTTACAAAGTTATACGTGTGTGTGTGTGTATTTGTAATCATTAATATTCAATGCATGATTGATATGTTGTAATATTCTTCTTTTTCTTATCTAAAAGTAAATATCAAAGATTACTTTGATGTGTGATACCATCAGTGTTGGTGGTGGTGGTAAACTTTTGACACTTTAATATTCAGACATAAAGATGTTTGTTTAGTTAATTTTACTATTGTTTCTTTAGTATTTCTGTTGTTGAGGAATTTGTTATGTTCGTCGCTAAGTATGCTTGAGGCTATTACGAGTTTACTTTAGTCGATAAATGTGAACGAGACAATGAACCAGTGTCCAGATAGGCTACCTTAAATCCTAAGCTGAAGTAAAAAAAGCTTTGTAAGCGTAGAAAGTATATTCTACAAACACCCAGCAATCACAATACAATCAAGCACACAAATCTCGTTTATTTATACATCATAGAAACGTCCTTGGGACAGTCACAAAAATAGCACACTAAAATACACAGCAGCCAATCACAGCCATGGATTTTGCTGGTGGGAAATGAAATCTCAAGGTCAACTGATCAGTCCATGCTGGCAAACATGAAATCCAAAATAAGTCATTTATGAAGCGAGTTTTGGCGATCTAACATCCCCAACAGAATTATACTGAATTATACTTGTTGAATAATATTTTCAAACCCTAGTCTTCTTCATTACCATTAATACCTCTATTATCTCTATCACTATAGGACTTGATTTGACATTTGCGTCTCTGTGTGCTAATGTGGTATGGCAACATGAACTTATGTACATACGTACGAAGTTCTACGTTGCAACTGACTGACTAAATGGTCAAATTAATCTACATGCTGGTGCAGGTGTTAGCTGATAAATTACCTCAATAATCTGACCACGGTCAGTGAGTTATGGCATATTTAGTGTAATATTGTAATAGATATTAGTTTTTCAACTTACCATGGTTACCTCTGTTTGATTATAGTTAGAATGTGTGAGTGGAATGCTAATTGATAAATGATGTTTACTTACCTACGCCCTGGTATCCCTCGTGTAGCATAGTTTACCGGTCAGAATTCTCCAGCCTGCTCTATTATAGACTCTGCTTTTCAATTGTTTCCAAGTACTGTTCATTCTTTTAATGTCAGCCTCCAATCCACAGCGCCCATGTTCTTTGGTCTATCTCACTTCTACTCAAAGGCTGTCGCTTTACTGGCCATTTTCACCTGTATTTGTTGCTGTGCATAGGATAGAAAAGCTCGATGATCTGTGAAATCGAAACTGCCTGACTGCATTCAAGTTGTCCACTGTATTCCATGCTTCCCCTGAGATGTCGAGGTTTTCATAATCTACTCAACCAATCGGATAGAAAAGAAAAGATGGAAGATACCGGTCTTCATTTGGAATACATCTCCGAGCTGCCTTCTATGCATGATTTTAAAGTTGTCTGTCGTAAGAATTCTGTATGATGATGACAATCTAAGGTACATAATCGTGAGGTTCTCCTATCCATGCTGTCAAATACTTTCCGATAGTCAATGAAGTTAATGTATAGTGATGAGTTACATTCAACTGTGATTGTTCAACAAGAATTCGTAGCCTCCCAATTTATAGTCAGTGCACAACCGATTCTTACAGAATCCAACCTAATCCTTCATACGGTCCGGCGGCACTCTGTTGAATATTTTGCCAGGTCCTAATAGTACTTGTGTAGTGAAGGAGAACACAGGTGACGGCAACCGAATTGTATTTATCGAAAATTACAGAGTTACTCAGTAAAATAGGAAAACCATATCGTAAACCGTTAATTTGCAAAACATCAATCGATCGTCTGACATTTCACCACTGTTCATGCGTTTCATACAAATTCCATTGTGTTCCCTTGTCTTCCTTTCTTGATCTTCTGCTGCCAGACATTACGTTGACACTCGCGTCATATACTACTTATAAGTAGCGCGCACCACACTTGATGCCTCTGTAGTTCACACACAGTGCCCATATGTTTCCTTTAGTATCCTGCTTCGAGCCAGATTTTTTTGAGAGCATTTTTGTAGTCAACTCTATGTCTGACTTCTACTAATCTGAAGTTATATCAACTTTACTCTTTCTGCTTACTTCTTCTAAATAATGTTTAATAATGATATATCATCTGTGTCAGTCAGTCAGATGCAACGTAGAACTTGGTACGTAAGTACATCAGTTCATGTTGCCATACCACATCAGCACAGAGGTATAATTGTCCATTCAAATCCAATAGTAGTAGAGGTAGTAAGGGAATTAAAAGTAATCGGAGAGGTTAGGGTTAGAAGATACTATTCGAGAAGTATGATTCAGTGAGAAAAGTTAAGAGTGGTCGAAACTAGAAGTGTTGAAGAATCCAGAAGATTAGGATTTGAGAGAACACAAAGAATAAATGCACCGGCGCCATTGCGAACGATTTTGAGCCATGTCATTCAAGGTCTCTAACCATCGATTATTATCATCTCGCGGACCCCAACCAGGTAGTCGACAACTACCGACATGGCTCAGTCCACTAGTCAATGACTTCATGGATTTCTGCCATGTTTTGGTCTGGCCGCCCCTAACTTTCTTCCAACCTACTCCTACACTACAAAACAAAGCTCTTCGAGGCAGTCGGTGGTTAGGCATACGCAACACATGTCCCAACCACCTCAACTGATGAAGTTTCACTGCTTCATCGATTGATTTGCCATCCTTACCTAGTACTCGTTCTCTATCCACAACATTGCTTACTCGGTTGTCCCACGATATACGAGCAATGCTTCGAAGACACCTATGATCGAAAACCAGTAACCTACGAATATCTTCTACTCTCACTGGCTATGTTTCACAGCCATATAGGAGAACGGAGCGAACTACTGCACAGTACACTCGTCCTTTAGTCAGCAACCGGATATCTCGCCTACTCCATAAGTAGAGCAGGTTGGCAAAAGCCAATCGAGCCTTCTGTATCCGAGCTGAGATTTCGTCAGTCACCAGGCCATCAGCACTGATGAGACTCCCCAGATAAGTGAAGCGGTCTACACGCTCGACTACTTCACTCCCTATCACTAGTTCAGGTGCCGATGCAACCCATCTGTGTAGGTCTTGTGTTAACTAACCCTTTATCTCTCTGTCTCTCTCTCTATTCAAAAGTTGATATGTGCCTTTTTTTAAAAAATTGAAAAAAAAAATCACAAAATGTATTGCTGTCTAGTTATTGAATTGCATGAAAATTAATTCATTAATTAATTAATTAATGCTAAATTAGTTGAATTAACATCTCTTTTTTTTTTCAATATCTGTCAAACCGCTTACTCCATCAAACTTCTTTGTCAAAAAAATTCATTTCAATTTGACAGGTTATTATTATTGGCCTCACTGTTTATTCATTATTGTATTCATCATGTATTTCACTAATTTATATATATATATATATATATATATATATATATAGATAGATAGATAGATAGCAATAGTAGTAGTTAAATAGTAAAGGAGGTAATTGTTGTATTTGACTGATTGCTCTCATGCAGTAAATCCAGTGTCTATATACACAAATGTGCATATATATCTGATTTATCTACTTACTATGTGTGTCGGTATTTGCTTATTCACATGTTCTATCATTTTTATACAAAGTGGTAGATTCATACTGTTTTTTTTGCGTTACCGCTCGTTAACAAAAAAAGAAGTGACATGGTTTTTTTTTGCATAGATTTTCTGATTTTCCATTTTGTAATTGAAATATTTGCGTTTTTTTATACATATTAAAAAACAAACATACGTTGATGTTACAGTGTGTGTAATTGAATTGTTGTGATATTATTTTTTTCTTATGTATGACAGTCGAACAAGTGGATTAATTGAACAATTATTGCGTAATGATCAAAATATTGGAGTAAACAATAATATGTCTTCTTCATCCATGATGCATCATCATACTATTGATCGATTATCAGCATCAGCATCATCGGATCATTTTATGAGTAATTCATTTCTTCCATGTCATTCAAGTAAAGGATCGTTTACAGGAGGTGGTAGTTCATTGCAACAAATGGATACAGATTATCTATTGAATACAACAGATACAACACCACAATTAGAGATTATTCGACAACAATCATCATCATTTCATCCTAGTGCATTGCTTAATCATATTCATTCATCACGTGTCTCATCCTCATCATCCTCGTCGTCGTCAGTGGCTGCTGCTGCTGCTGCCGCCGCAGCTGCTCATCATTTATTACCTGTACCATTGTTAACAACAACTGATCATCATCATCATCATCATGGTCCTGGTTCTGGTTCTGCTTCTACAGCTGCGGCGGCGGCTGCTGCTGCAGCAGCGGCAGCTGCTCAATCTCATTGGCAAGCTTATCGTTCTGTGAATAATTCATTCTATCCAATAACAACACCACATCATAATACAATGAATAATTTTACCAATCTACAATCATCATCGACACCAGTAAATCAATTCACATCATCGTCATCATCATCATTTTATGATAATTCACATTTAATGCATTCAACAACAACCACCACGACCACCACCACCACCACCTGCTTGTCACCATCATCATCCGGTTCATGGCGTCATTCACTTGGTTTAGATATGCGTTTATTTAATAGTGATTCACAACGAACTGATTCAATTACACCTTTATCTACATCATCTTGTTCAGGAGGAGGTGGAGGAGGAGGAGGACATAACGCTATGGAGACTGGGAATAATAGATCATCATCCGGTGGTCCAGTAACACCACCGGATCTTATGTATTTTCCACAAACTACACCATTCGGTGTGTCCGATCCTCATCAACATCCACATCATCAGCATCAGCATCATATTGAATCATCATTCCTACAACAACACCAACACCAACAAGCACAAATGATGAAACAAGCTAATCAAACTGGCAATGTATTATTATCTGAACAATTATGTCATTCCGGACGAGTTAGTCAATCTTCTGTGACAAATTATACAACACAACAACAATGTTCATCAGCATCCGCATCATCGTCAACATCTGCATTCACTGCAAATCCCGCAACACAATCTCGATCCACTGATGATGATCGTACAACATATAGAGATCTGAGACAATATATTGAACCGTATACCTCGTCCTATGATGATGATTGTGAACCGTTAGAATTAGAGTTGAGTTTAGAATTGGCTGATCGAATTGTTGGGAGTACTTCGACCACAGTAAATAATAATAGTACTAATAATAGTAGTAGTAACCCAATCACTTCCAGTTTTTGATATTTTATTTTAAAAAATATGAAAATTTCACCGGATTTTAGCGAAGAAGTAATTGTTACTTCATCTTCCAACGAAATTTGAAGGCAGCTTGAATGAACCTCAGTTTCAATTTCAGTTTTTTTTTTATGAATCCTATTCTCTTCTCTTCTCTTCTCGTCTCTTCTTTGTTTATGTGTCATCTTCTACTTGTTTGAGATAAAACTTGTTCAGGACAGTTTTTTTTTCTATTTACTTCATTTAATGATGATCGTCTGTTTATTTTCTATTTTCACTTCTGATACAACACTATCATCTCGTCTGAAAGAAACCGTAATTATCGATCAACCTCTAGCGCGCAAGCCAGTGCATAGAATCCAGTTGTCTTTCCAAGATAGTAGTAAGAAAGAGAAGTACAAGAACATCTTGGTTTTTTGGTTTTGGTTTTTTCTTTGTGCGTATGTGTGTGTGTGTGTCTGTGTATACTTTCTCTTGCCTAACTGAACTACTGGTAAAAAAATCTCATTCAGGTATTTTAACTACAACATATTCTTTATATACATATAAAGCGCCGTATTCCCCCGATCCCCCTCGTTTAACTAACCTTAATGTGAATAATTCGGTTCAATACTCTTTATTTATACGTACTACAAGTTGAATTTATTTCCTTTTAAAGAACAACCGGTTATTCACATTATTGAATTCAGGTAATTTTAATTTATATATTACAACACAGTTTCAATTTTTGTGTTTTTGTTATTTTGCGTGTATTTTATGTGTATCATCATCATGTACAAGTCAGGGCTATTCTATACTACTTAATTACTTACTTATTTACTTATTTACATACTTATTTACTAGTATACTACCTTGATCCCAACTCGGGGAGTTTGTTTGTTTTTTTTATTACTTTCTCTATCTATACTCTCTCTCTCTGTATTATCATCAAGTCAGGTAATTAATTGTTTTTTTTATTGTGTGTATCTGTGTGTGTGTGTATGTATGTATTTTTTTTGCTAAAAACTACTTTTTTTTCTGCTTTGGGTATCAATTTTTTTTTCTATGCGGTTTTTATTTTTTATTTTTTTTCGTTCGTCTGTTTGTTTGATCATGATGATGACGATGATTATTATTATTATTATTGATTTTTTTTATCTTATTGGGTTTTCTTGATGGATTGTTTATTTGTTTACTTATTGACTTGTTTACTTGTTTATTCATTCGTTCATTGATATATATTTATTGATTATTAATATTGCTAACAAAATTATCCACCAGGAACTAACTGCTCTGTTTCTGTTTCTATTTTTTAAAATTAAAACTTTTGTTTTAATGAATTTCACCGACTGACACCGATCGACCTGTGTGTGTGTGTGTGGATATGACGCGGATTCACTCGGTTTCTCTTGCTTCTTCCTCTTCTACCTGTTCGCCATTTACCATCACCTACAAACGCTTTACTCTCTCTCTCTCTCTGTATTCTATTCTATTCTATTCTTATTTTCAAAATTACTATGATGTAATTCATGAACCCAGGTATTATTTAATTGTTTTTACTAGACTGTTTTGTTGTCTACACTGATTATTATTGAACAATTAAACGAAAGAAAAATAGAAAGAGAGACATACATGGTTGTCATTATTATTATTAAGGTATTATAACATAATCTGTCACCGGTTGACAAGTTTTCTTTTTCTTTGATATATATATATATAAATATATATATGGTTTATGTCAACTGTTTATTTATGCATCTGTGTGTGTGTATGTGTGTGTGCATTATAACACGCATATAATCGGTGAATTGGTTTCTTCTTCTTATTATTATTGTTCTTCACAGCTTAATATTATGTTAATATATTATTACATATTATGTATGATTTGTAAAATATACTCTGCACTGTTCAATGTTGTTTCATGTGGACAGTCATATATAGATATAAATATCAATTTCCCAGCATTTACACTTATTATAATACTACACATGGGATGAGATGAGAAAATTTTGGAAACCAACATCAGCCGCATCCGTAGCAGCATCAACAGCAGCAATAATAATATAAAATCATGGATTGATTATATTGGATGTTGATAGCAAAGTGCTAAATTCAAATTGTGAAATCATAACATGAGTTTTTCACATGAAACATTCTTTCTCCTTTCTCTCTCTCCATTGACAATGTCATTCTTGTGTTGTTTGTTATTCATGAGGAGTTATTGTTCATTCTTTGAATTCATCATCAACTCGTCTGGACAACAAGTTCTTTCTCTCTCTCTGTGTGCGTGTGTGTGTGTGCTTCATTCATGTTGTGTGTACATTATTGATTTTATTCCATTGGTCAATTTAAAGAGAGATAACTTTTTTTTTTGAATAATCTGAGCATTTTGTTGTTGTTGTTGTAATTGCTGTAATCACGTCAACTTTTCTTAATGTACTTACTTACTTACCTATCGAATTCATTCTGGTGCTTCTTAGTTCAATGTGGATCCATCCCATCAATCCAGGCATTTTCTTCTTTTTTCTTCCTCCCATTATTCTCATGGATTCTTCTACACTTATCATTAATTAGATATAAAAAAATAATTTCATTGTTTATTTCCGAAATGGTGTTCACAGAGTTTTCCTTCGCTGAATGTATTTTCCATTCACGCTTTCATTGTGTATGTGTAATAAAATAATGCTCGTTTTTTCTTTTAAAAAAACCCAGGTAATTGTTGACTCCTTTTTTGTTGTTGTTGTTGCAGAAGAGATGAATCAAAACCACTGAGTGTAGTTATCACAATATTGGACATAGTCATCATTTCAAGTACTAAATATATATGTATATCATGTCGGTAACCTTAGATTGATTGACATTTACGAACAAAACTAGTTAATTGGATCATGTGTTTGTGATTTGTGTGTGTGTGTGTGTGTTTATCGTTTCTTAATTCTTTGCAAAATTGACTTTTTCAGTTTATTATCTATTTATTTTTCTCCTTTTTTTTCAAGGAATTTCGCCTAATCATCACTTTTTTTATTGACTGACTGGACTAACTGACTACCTTCTTTGATTTTGATTGATTTGTCGTTTACTATTTGTACAATTTCGCTTCTATCCTTTCTTCTTCTTCATCCAGTGAACTTTCTCTCCTCCCTATGCAAGTTCATAAAAATGATAGATTGTGTTTTATATATTATCATCTATATTACAGCCTGTAATCTGAGTTGAGTTGAGTTGTTTAACTTACTTCTTACACCTAATAACATACACTTATTCACTTCACTTCACTTCATTTTTAAAATGCTTTTATTCCAATATAACCATTATGATCATGATTATATTATTAATGTTATTATTATTATTGCTGTCATATATAATAACAGCACTATACTATTTTCTACATAGAAGAGTATTAATAATGTCGAAGGAGAAAATTCATGGAATGTCCTATTGAAATTGGTGTGTGTGTTCATTCTTTCTCATTCATATATACACATACATATATCTACCTCGTTTAGACTGGACTACTTACTAAACTAAGGGTTTTAGTCTAATTTGTCAGCACACTTGTAAACACATACAAACACATAACTACATGGTGTTATTGCTGTTATTGTGTCTGTTGAACTACACATCTCCAGAGAGAGAAAGAGAGAAATTCATTTAAAATAACTTTCAACTAACTAACCAACTATTCTTGCTGCCTACTTTAAATTTTCTCTCCCGCACGCAAATTATTAATTTTCATTTCTTGTTTACTTATTTATTTCTTGATTCTGGTATTTACACATTTGAGATGAATTCATTACAATGTTCATTTCTGTTCAGGTAAAGAGAGAATGGCTTTATTATTGTTTGTGTTTTTTTGAATAACGTCAAACAAAAAGACTTGTTTCTATTTTCACCTACCTATTTCATCTGTGTGTGTGCGTGTGTGCTGGTTAGTACTCGGTACCTCAGTCGGCCGTAATAGTAGTAGCAGTATAGTAGTACATCTGTACTCACTTGTTTTTTTGTACGCTCAAAGTGGCTGCTTATTTCTTTTTTTTTTTTCAATACTTTTCCAATTCTTCTTCTTTATCTATTTTACGAGGAGATTTCCATTTCTATATCTATCTATCTATATATATATATATGTAAGCAAGAAACTGTCCACTCAGGAATTCGATCAAAACATTACCATGTTTGCTGATTATATATATATATTTGTCATTATTTTTTATTCTTGTCATTTATTATTATAATTTATCAAATAAGAAAAAATGTATTGTGTTCGTGTGTGTGTGTGTGTGTGTGGTGAATTTAACGATTATCGTTTTGTTTTTCCCTATGTAACACATACACTGTGTGTGTGTGTGCGTGTGTTAAAATCGTATATTATGAATGCGTAGAATGTCCTATTGTCAGTGTTGCCTGATCTGTTCAACATTACTACTCATGTATGTACGCTCGAAATATCTGAGGATTTTTGGTAGGGCAAAGTTGAAGTCAGTCACCAAAACACCGGGTACCTATGTGAACAGAGAAATGACGAAAAAAATTATAGGCAATCACAATATTTGGCATAGACAGTATAATTCTGAAAGAAAGGATCAATCCTCACGATAAAAGTATGAGACAGTTTCGGAACTCGTAATGCATGTGAGAGATATTGCGACAAATATTAAGCCATATTATTCAATCTCTATTGACTACAATAATCGTACGAACTTTAACCAGGTAATAATCTGCACCCATGTACGTGGCTTATTTTGACAGTCAGTAACTTCTCGGACTGATAGCAAGTGTTAGTTAGTTTGGTCGCACTTAATTCTCTTCCAACCTATCCCTACAACACTTGTTGTTATCCTACATTAAAGTGGTTTAAACTCAAGGAAAACGTATGCTCTATTTATAAGCGTTAGAGGTTAACTATTTTTCTAAAAATCGGTTCGATAACCTTATTTAGCCTTAAGTATTGCTCACCTGTTGATCCCAAATGTGAATATAACAAAGTAGTAGTAACATATAAATATTCTGCGCCTAGTAGCCTACGTTTCGTCGCCACAGAATAAATCTATGAAAACTGCACCGTATAGTTGTACTTTAGTCTGGATGCGTACATGTCACCTGCTCCATACAGTTTGTGTTGGCTGATTTGCACGTGGAAAATCATAGTCTGGATGAAACTTACTGTTGCTATTCTGATTTTGATAGATAGTGAATAATTAACAAGTTTTCTCAGTGAAAATGTGTTCAATATAAACAAAACACTAAACCAATCAGATATCAGTTTATTTTGTAGGTAACGGTTTATCTGATATGAAATAAAGGTCATTTATTATTACTAATTAGTCTTCATTTATTTAAGATCAAACAACGTCCTACGTTGTTTAGATATAGCAATGCGAAGAAATAATGAAGAGAAGGGGTGCAGAATAAAAATCACAGAGAAAGGTGAACAAGACTGGTGTGTATTTAGGAGAAACAGTTTGGATGAAAACACAAGTGGTTGCAGTGACCCTTGTGAAGATTGTGAGAAAAAACTACAGAATCAACAGTCTTGTATATTGAACCATTTTTGTGACAACATCTAGGGTGATTGAGTTGAACCATTATCTCTAGAACTGGATTCAGGTAGTCGTGATAGACTGACAGAAATTAGTTCTACACCAATTCTTCGGGTGTATACAAGCAAGCCATGTCATGAACTGATAATCTGTCCTCCGTAAATAATGGATGAAGCGAGAAAGAGAGAC